TGATATTTTTGGCCACAAATCCAATCTATCATGCTCGTATTAGTACATTGATGTAAGGTACCATTTTGTTCGGGACTTATTTAATGAAGGAAATGTTCAATTAAAGAAGATATACATCAAAGAAAATCTAGCAGACATGCTCACAAAAGTTTTATAGGTTTAGAAGTTCACCTATTGTAGGAGTTTGGTGAACATTTGCGATCATGACTGATTGTTCATATATTTTGAAGAATTATGCTTGACTTGATCCCTTTGGCATGAGAGTAAATAGGCAACCAACTTGGCGTTGTCGTTCTGATATTGGAGTTTTGTCATCTTCCACTTTCTGAAGTGAAAGATGAGGTAAATAATGTTATGAAAGTTTTTTATTTATTTCCAAATTTTAGTCGTAAGTAGAGGAGCTCTAATTATGGCACTGATTAGGAGCTTTGATTATTGCATTAATTGGGAGATTTAATTACTACACTGATTGGGAGATCTGATTGGCTGTTAGACCGGTCCAATGGACCGGTCTAGCCGGTCCACACGGGACCGGCCCAGGTGAATAAAGGCAGAACTTCTCCGCCTCTCCCGCGGAGGCTAATCAAGCCGCAAGTTTTCGGGAGTTGAATAGGGAAGATTTTTGGGGGAATTAAGAGGGAAATTTGAATGTAGGGACTGTTTAGGGATTTCCTTTTGATTTGTATGCATTAAATAGTTTGTTTTCCTAGGGTTAGGGCATCTTGAATTTGGCTGAAATTTGAGATCTCTTAGATTTAGGTTTCCTTTGGGCTCTAGCAGCGTCTAGAGATTTGGGAGAGATCAATCCTCCTCTCGAATTGAGGATCAACTGTATCTAGCTATTTTCCATTTCTATTTCATCAAATAATAAAAATTTTCTACTATTTTCTTAGTTTTGTGTGGATTTTTGTGAAGGATTTTTGTTGTTTTTCTAAAGATTGATAGGAATTACTTGAGATCTTTCAAGTGTTTCCTATCAAATTGGTATCCGAACAAATCTTGAGACCATTGGTGGGCTGTTTTTGCAAATTCCAGTGGTTGTTCTTGGGTCGATAAAGAAGGAAAGTGTTATTTTTTTAAAGTAAAATCCATATTTTTGTATCTACAAAAATCCAGCAAACGATGGTGGCCAAAACGTGGGCACTTAGGAGGAGAGATTGGAAGGAGAGATGAACCAAATTTTCTTCCTTGGAAGGGCAAGTCGCAGACTTACGGGAGATGATGAAGAAGATGTTAGGATTCCACAATCAATCGGCAGCTTCTGTGGCGAGAGGGCCAGAAGGACATAATACAAATTCTAAAATCCGTAAGGATGAAGAGGAGGTAGAGATCGTAGAGAGAGAAAAGAGAAACCCCATCTGGAGCCTTTCCAGAGGGAGGATAGAGGAGATAGGTTTAGGGAAAGGCATGGGTATGGTGGGCAGGAGCAAAGGGGTGATGATTGGGAACGCTAGGTTATGGCCGCGAAGGTGCGGAATTTGAAGGAAGGAGAGCGGAATTCGAAGGGAGTTTGGGTTATAGGGCAAGGGAAGACCAAGAGACATGGGGAGAGCCAAGCACTTGGGAGAAAGGAAGCTATGGAGGAATAAAGGAAAACGGGTGAGATCAGAAAGTGAGAAAGCTGAAGATGCCCATATTCGAAGGAGAGGATGCGTATGAGTGGATTTATAAGGTGGAGAGATATTTCGCCATCAATGGGTTGACGGATGAGGGGAAATTGGCAGCAGCAGGCCTATTGTCTAGAGGGGAAGGCATTGTCATGGTACCAATTGCGGGACCAGATGAGGCCTATAAGGAGCTAGAGAGTATTCAAGGATTGTTTATTAGAACGCTTCCAAATTGATGAGGGAGGAGACTTCTATGAGCAATTTTTCGCACGGGTGCAGGATGGATCAATGGCAGACTATCGGAAGCGGTTCAAGTACCTGGCCAGTCAGGTGGAGTGATTATTAGAGTCTTCCTTGGAGGAGAACTTCATGAAGGGGCTTAAGGCAAAAATCCGAGTGACGGTGAAAGTCAGGATGCCTTGGGACTTGGGAGAGGCAATGAAATTGGCCCAACTAATGAAAAATCAGAAGAATCTAGAGAGGAGAGCAGACCCAGGAGTAGCCAGCTCATGAGGCACTTATAGGATGACGACTACTCATTTAGCACCCAAGGGTCCGACATCAGGAAGATTTCATGAGACCACAAGGAAGAAGCCAATAGGAGGGAGTGGGAAAAATTTTAAGAGGTTGACAGAGAAGAATATAGAGGAGAAGAGGTCAAAGGGATTATGTTTTCGATGTGATGAGAAGTATACTCCAGGGTACAGGTGTAGGGATCAAACTCTTCAGGTTCTCACCGTATGTGATGATTAAGAACTTGAGGAGGGAGGTGCGAGAGATGGATGACAAGTTGTATCTGATTGTGGCGGAGGTCTCCCTGAATCCAGTAGTAGGATTGACTTCGAATCATACGATGAAGGTAAAGGGGGAAATAGCATGAATGGAGATAGTAGTATTGATTGACAGTGGTGCTACCCATAATTTCATTTCCACTCAGATTGTCAACAAACTGTGAGTGAAATTGGTGGACACCGGTTGTTATGGAGTGATGATGGGTACAAGCCAGGGGAACTGTAGAGGAGTGGTGTTACCCATCCAGGGGATTCAGGTAAGGGATGACTTTCTCCCACTAGAGTTAGGAAGTACTGATGTCAATCTAGGGATGAAGTAGTTGCAAACCTTGGGGGAAACCAAGGACAATTGGGGAGTACTCAAGATGGAATTAATGGTGGATAGGAGAAAGGTGGTTATAAGGGGAGATGCAGGGCTATCCAAAGTCATGGTATCACTTAAAATCATGGTTAGGGGCATACAAGAGGTGGGGAAAGATTATCTGGTGGGATTACACAGGATGGATGTTATCAGATTAGAGGAAGGGGATGTTTCTCTTTCAATGCAGCCCTTGATTCAACAATTCGTTAAGGTTTTTCAGCCACCTTAAGGATGCCTACCTCCACGGAAACACAAGCATATTTCTACCTTGAGGACAAGGTGGATCTATGGGATGGATGTATTGTTAGACCGGTTCAACCATTCCACACGGGACTGGCCCAAGCGAATAGAGGCGAAACATCTCCGCCTCTCCCGCGGAGGCCGATCAAGCTGCAAGTTTTCAGGAGCCAAATAGGGAAGATTTTTTGGGAAATTAAGAGGGAAATTTGAATGTAGGGATTGTCTAGGGATTTCCTTTTGATTTGTATGCATAAAATAGTTTATTTTCCTAGGGTTAGGGCATCTTGGATTTGGTTGAAATTTGATATCTCTTAGATTTAAGTTTTCTTTGGGCTCTAGCGGCGTCTAGAGATTTGAGAAAGATCGATCCTCCTCTCGAATTAAGGATCAACTGCATCTTGTTATTTTTCATTTTTATTTCATCAAATAATACAAATTTTTTACTGTTTTCTTAGTTTTGTGTGGATTTTTGTGGAGGATTTTCGCTGTTTTTCTAAAGATTGATAAGAATTACTTGAGATCTTCTAAGTGTTTCCTATCATTGGCATGATTAGATTTTCATTAATAAAATTTTTTTTATTAATTTTGTTTCAAATCTATAAATATAAGTTTGAGGGTTGTCGTAAGTAAAAGAGAGTCAATGGTAATAATGTTTCTACGCAATATAGTGAAATCACCACCTCCCGTGGATGCAGGCGATTATTCGACGAACCACATAAATCGCATTGTGTTTGGTTGTGTTATTTGTGTTGTTTTATGTTGATTTGCACAACAATCATAGGGAGCTATATTCTTCTCTCAATCTCATGCCCCTCTGCTAATAATAGAGACAGTTAAACCATATCAAGTCAACCCTCTATTTATTATTTGTTCAAAAAAGATTGAATTCAAGCTCTAATTTGATTTGCTAAAGATGCTACCAAATCAATTTGACCTGCTTCCAAATGAGAGCACTAACAAGATCTATCATGAGGCAATAGTTTAAATTTGGTTATTTTACGAAAAATGCATGTTGAAATAGGATCACCCACATCATCTCAGCATGCGCTCTTCGGATATAAGGAATTCAAGTAAAAGGAATAAAAGGAAGCTGAAAATTCAAAATCAGTTGTTGGAGATAAAAGCCAGACAAATTGTGTGAATTTCATTTCATCCACTTTCCTTTAAGCTGGTTTCCATATTATATATTCATCTATAAAAAGGAAGAGGACTGGAATCATTTGATGAAAGTTAGCACTTCGATGATTAAAAATCCTCATATAATTAAAAGGATAAATATGCTTTTATTAGCCTTAAAAATCGGAAAAAGCAGAGCTAAATTGCGTTCCTACCAATAATGTTCCTCGGCTCCCTTTCAAAGAAAACGAGAAAAAAAGAATTCTCACGTGAATTTTTATTAAGACATGGGCAGATACGTCTTCCACCATACCGAAGACCCAAACACTCCAAACCAGATGGCGTTGACGGGCAGAGCGCAGACCATGATATCCGCTGTAAGTCTGCGTACCTAATAAAAAGCGTAAAAATTTTGGACACCTTTAACTCCGTAATCAGAAAATTCCAATTCCGTCGGGGCTTTTTTTTTTTTTTTTTGAAAACGAGTTCCCACTTCCTCTGGCCCCGTAAAAAACCCAGCAAAAATCCGTCACCGGAAAGGAGTGAGGAAATTCTGATGCCATTCACCAGACACGAACTCGATCCAGAAATCCTGAACAGTTATGATTCTTCTTCTTCTTCTTCTTCTTCTCTCTCTCTCTCTCTCTCTCTCTCTCTCTCTCTCTCTCTCTCTCTCTCTCTCTCTCTCTCTCTCTCTCAGTGAACATACATGGAAACTCAATCGATGAAGTTTCCTCTAAATAAAAACGAAGATTCTACATACAATCCTTTTCAAAAATCAAATCAGCGCAGAAACTCATGGAAGTATTTAGTTTCAGGGAACAATTAATCATCAAATCTAGCATTTCCTATAAAAAATTTAGTGAAACAAGATAGAAAACATACCTTAACTGTTTAAGAGAAAAAATCCCTCGATGAAACCAGCGAATAGTTTGATAAAAGCCGATGAGATTGCTTAGAAAATCTCAAGGGGCTTCTCAGAGAATTAGGGAGTGAAAGAACGCCTTCAGTAGAAACAAGATTCAGGAGATCGACCAAAAAAGCCGAAGCATCGTGCCCTAACCAAACTGTTTCGTATAAATTTTCCACAACGAGTTCGCGAAAGAAAAAGAAAGAGGGGAAGAGGGCGGGGAGCGAAGCGCTGAGTGGCGAGCAATAGGCAAGGAAGATGGAAGAGATGCGGGCTCCAAGTCAACTGCCACGTCAACTACACGTGTCCGAAAAGGACTCCGCATACATAGATCTTCATCTGATTCAACCTGCACTGCATAAGTGCCTTACCACACGAACTTTTATTAGGTTCGGTCCAAGGACGTAGAGGAACGTCCGGTCGGAGGCAATTTCCCGTCCAAAAACTAGGTATTTGCTCGGTACAACTAGGTATTATTTGATAATAATGAAGAATACCGTTCTCTGAAGACCAATACCGAGTTATACCGAGCTGTACCGAGAAATACCGAGTTGTACCGAGTTTTTCTGAAAAAAACTCGGTACAACTTTTGTATAACTCGGTATTTGCTCGGTAAATCCCGATATAACTCAGTATTGGGTCTTCAAATGATGGTATTCTTCGTTATTGTTTGACATTGCTCGGTATTTGCTCGGTACATCTCGGTATTTGGCGGGAATTTGCCTCCGACCGGATGTTCCTCTACGTCCGGTCGGAGGACGTAACAATTGTTCCACACGAACTTTTATTACATTCGGTGCAAGGACGTAGAGGAACGTCCGGTCGGAGGCAATTTCCAGTCCAACCTGCACTGCATAAGTGCCTTACACACACCATCTAGCAAATCATGCTACGCACACAACTCTCCTTGGCCTATTGGTTGAAAGCTTAGGCTTCCAACTAAGAGGTCCAAGGTTCGAGTCCATGTGTATGCGTTGTGTGTGTGAGTTTGCCTTAAATGGCCTAAATGTCCCAAAAAAAAAATCATGCTACGCGTATCTGAATTATTCGGACCCGCAAATAAAAAGGAAGTCGATTCCCAAGCAAGGTATTGAAAATCGGACCGAACAACGAACTGGAACAAGAAGAGATTCAATTTTATATTATATGATTAAATATATTTTACATGTTTATGATATATTGTATACAAAAGTTATTTTATAAATTTATATCTAAAATCATTAATAAATAAATAAAATTATTAATGATAAATTATTTTTTATTATGTATAAATAAATAAATTTTTATTGTTAACTAATAAATAATTAACACTCACATAAAAAATAATTAAGTAAAAAAATATGTTTAAAAATAAATTTTATACCCATTATATATGTTATGAACTCATACACTTCTCATCTCTTTTTTTTAGTCCCACATCCCTTAGAAATACTTTTTTGCTATTGTTTATATAGCATATTTCGATTCCTTACATGAAGAGAGCATATGAGAAGGTCATGTGAAGAAGTTTCATGATGTTTTGAGGACAAAAATGCTTATTATATAAAATGTATTTAACTTAAATTAAATGTTTTTAATATATATTAATTTATTTATTTAAAAAAATACTTAAAATTTGTGAGATTTGAACCGGCTGGTTCAAAAATAACCGAATCGGTTCGCCGGTTGAACCGGCGGTTCTGACCGGTTCAGTTCGGTTCGTTGCAGAAGCAGTTTTAGGGCTGAACCGGACCGGCCTTGTGACCGGTTCACGGTTGAACCGGTCAAACCGGCCGATCCGGTTTTTAAAGCATTGTTCCCAAGTCGAAATCTAGGAATCATTCATGAGAGCCGTATTAGTAAAACAGTAAAGGTAGCCAAAAAAATGTTTGCTAAAAGAATTACTATTTTTTATGGGAAATTTACATACATATCATTATATACTTATTATTTTACATATACAACACCGCATTTTTAAATATTACACTTATACCACTCAAATCCTTAACTCACCTCAATTATACCCTCTGTCCACACAGTCCACGATGCTTGTTCTCACGCTAACGACGTCTTCCAGTTTTTTCATTTTTAGGGCATCAGCGGGTGAAGTTGAGGAGGGGGATAACATCATTGAGTCGGACCTCTTCGCAATCTAAGGTAAAAGCATGAAAACTTTGTTTCGATTTTAGATGTAAATGATAGAAGCATGTTCTGACTTTCTCTTCACAACATTGAGTTCGGACCGCTTATGCAGAGTTTAAGCAGATATTTTGAGTTTTTTACTTGGATTGATTTCTGTTTAAGCAAATATTTTTCCCTTCACGCCATTGAGGTCGGACTGTTTATGCAGAAACAGTCTTGTTGAGATTTTAACTTGGATTGATTTATGCTTACTTGGAGATTTGGGCTACTATGTTGTGCTGTCAAAACAGGAAGAGCCATGAAGCAAAATGTTGGATTGATTTCTTTTTCCGTTCACTCCACTGTGTCGTGCTACCAAAATGTTTTTCCTTTTTTTTTTCAAGATTATAACTGGCTTCGCTTGTTAGAAATTGTTGGAGTGTGTTGACATAATTTTTTTTTTTTGTTATAATGAGTTCTTCAAATTCATCAGTTGTGAGAGCCAGGCGGCATCAATCCCATGTATACTACCATTGTCACCTCAAATGTGTTTTGTTTACCTGCCACCAAGGACCAAATAGTGGAAGACAATTTTATAGGTGTATTTATAATCGAAGTGATGATGATTGCCATTACTTTAAATGGGTTTATGAAGAGGAAGAGCCATGTTATGTCACACGTTATGAATTTAATGCCTTCGATAGAAAGACTTCTAAGAAGCTTGACAGGATTCTTCTGATGAATAAAGTTTTTATTGCGGTTGTTCTTATCGACGTTACAGTTCGACCTTTTTTTGGCTAGAATTATGTGGTATTCAAGTTGAATGTATGGATGATTTTAGAGGATGATAAGTGTTGTATTAGTAGTTTATTATGTATTTGTCGAAGGTTAATAGTTCAGGCGTTGCTATGACTTGAGCTAGCCTTTTGTATTAGAATTTTGTATCTTCAAAGTTTTTTGTGGAATGAAAGAAATATTTGTTTTCAATTTGGTTGTGCTACGACTTGAGCTAGCCTCAAATGAATACAGGCAGCAAATTCTTTCCCTGTCCTTATAAGTTTTCAAAGAACTGAAATTCAACTTAAACAGCATCCTGTATAATGCTTATACAATTTTCATCGCCTGTGTTATGACTTGAGATAGCCTCAAATGAATATAGGAAGCAAATTTTTTCCCTGTACTATAAGTTTTTAGAATCGGAATTTAACTTAAATAGCAGCAAATTTAACTTAAGCAACAGCCTCAAATGAATACAGGAGCTATTTTCATCCTCAAATGAATGCAGGAGCTATTTTCATCCTCAATGCTTATATAGTTTTCAAAGAACCAAAATTTTCCTGTACTTATAAGTTTGAGATATTAGAGCAAGTAAAGAACAGGACAAAGATGAAGTGCATAATTATACTGAAACCAACAACATCAATTGATGTAGTTCATGAGAAATGTGCGAATACACAGGCATTAATTCTGAACTTTGGGGACCCAGACGAAGTGCATAACTGTACTGAACAGATGTACAGGCAGATACCCAAAAAATCAAACACAAAAAGGTTTACACGGAACTTCAATACACAAATTCAGAATGGTTTATAAGTTAATTTTGAAGACCACAAAAATCTTACTCAAAGCATTTGTCCCAAAAGAAGTCAAACCCAAAAAAAGTAACCCAAAATAATCCTGAACATTTACTTAAAAACCTTCAAGATTCGAATACTCATACTCATCTCCCAACTCCTCTACAACCCTTCTACTTGCAACTTTGGACGCTTTGGTTGTCTTACTTGTGTTATAATTGTGTCATTGATGTTCTTCTGTAATGGGTTCTTACATGTACTTCGATGATGAACCCAAAGATTACACCTATTGCATTTATGTACTTTCTTGTCCTTTTCCAAAAAACTAGGCAATCTTCTTCTTTTGGTTCTTCCTCTATGTCTTAATGTATTTGGTGCTCCAATCTCAACAGTATCGTGAATCACTTGCCATTGATCCTTCCCAGGTAGCATGCCAATTGCTCCATCGTACGCCATCCTGTATCTAAAGAAGTTGAAATTAGTGTAGCAAGTGTGATGTAGAAATTGAAATAATTCAAATGTTAGAGTTACCGGTCAACGTAGTAGTAATCATGAACGTATGTATGCCATAGTGCATACTCCTTCATCCCAATGAAAGCAATGGCGTGGATGCAAGGAAGTCCTATTAATTCCCAAACTTTACATGTACAGTCTCTACTCTCAACATCAACAATATGTCTTGAATGGATTCCACCTCAGCCTTGACAGTAGTATATTGGCTAACTATTAAATGTTCTTTTCTTGTAGTAAAGTATCTTATGTATTCTTCAGAATGAGGAACTATTTCACGTTGCCAAGTCAAACTTGTCATTTTACGTGTAGCCCTTTGTTCCATTAGTTTACCACGAATCATGTCAATTAAGTCAACAATAGGTTTATTTCTGGCCTCCACTATCCAAGCATTGAATGATTCAGCAAAGTTATTGGTATTTGTACTGTGGTATATCCCATACATTCTCTAAATTGCTATTGATATCTTTTGGAGGAATGTCAGGATTCCTTTTGACAATCTCTTGAATCTCATTGGCAACCCATGCAGATATGGCTAGTCTATTCCCAGCACGGTTGATGCCTGGACACATGTGAACTCCATCAACTTTTCTAACTTCAAAAGTGTGAGCATCTTCACATAGGGAAGCTCTAATTCTCCATTAGCAACTTTGATGAGAACATGTAGCAATATCATGTTTCTTATCACTAGCCTTAATCCTAACATCAAATATCTCCTTGATGGCAACTGATCGCAAAGTATGCTTGTAAGTTATTGCATCAGAAAAATAGGTGCCAACAGCTATATCTTTATAACATAAAACTTGAACACTCGAAATACAATCATTATAGTCAAAAGAACTTTCAATCATCTATTCAAAATTTATGAACTCCCTTATATTGGACATAGATTCATGTCCTTCTACTTCTTGTACTGTAATAACTATCTCAGCAAGTAAATTATCATTAGATACTTTTATGAACTTAGATGCCTTAACGTTAGAATTTAGATCATTGTATTCTTTAGGTGATGTTCCATATTTGTAATAATACATATTATATGGATGTCCCTTGAGCCAAGAACATATTTGGGCAATCTCTGCTCTAACTGCAAAAATAGTGAGTTGTCCTTTCTCAATTTTTACAGTCCTTTGT